AGAACTCTTTATTGACTGTCTGACCAGGAGGGACAAACTCCTTATGAACAATCCCATCAATATCAAAAAACAGATCAACATGGACTTAATGTTGCTCTTGATTTGTCGAGCTTTTTTTGGCCGAGGTGAAGAAGGGCTCTTCCAGTGCGATTGCTGCTTGCTTTCAGGGTCGTAGCCATAAACCCAACTTTTGTCACCAGTGACAACCTTCAAAAGAAAGTTTGGATCCTCTTGAAGCTGTTGCTGAAATTCCCTGCAGACTTCCAAGCAATGCTGCTTCTGTTCATTTTGCAGCACTCGTGGCACAAACTTCGCCGCAATCCTCCTCATGTTCAGTTCCTCTGACAAAATTCGTTGACATGTACCATAACTTAGTCCCAAAGTGTTACAGAGGTCTTGGATGGTCAGTCTACGATCTTGCAGAATCAGATCCCTAACTTTCGCGACATTTTCTGGTGTGGTGCCAGTTGACGGCTGTCCCGAACAATCGTCATCATCAGTCGACGTTCGGCCATTTTTGAAACGCTTATGCCAGTCGTAAGTTTGTGTCTGATCTAAACTGTTGTCTCCAAAAGCTTTCTTCAACATTTGGTGCATTTCTGCAGCAGTTTTGCCAAGTTTGAAGCAAAACTTTATACAGACACGCTGCTCTCTTAGGTCAGCCATCGCAAAACCGCAAACTCACGGAAACACAACAATGGAAATATGTTCACCAACAATAAACCCAGCCACTCAACTCGACGCCGCTTGCGACACTGATTCAAGAAGGATGTGTGAGGAGACATGTAGCGGTATTTCGATGTACTCATGACCATTCACGCGCAAAATTCAAATTTTGGAAACTTTTGGATTGCCCCACGTAGAAATTCAAATACACTAATCTTCTTCTAATGTTATTCATTTAACCAGGAACTTTGTTGCATATTACAATAATATTGTGCTGAGTATCACACTTGTGAACGTTTTGTCTTCTACACCTTCCTCATCTTCCTGTTGTTTTAGCTCAAGTCAACTGTTCAACAAACATCTGGTCATTGTCTGGCCTTCAAAGATATCCACAAAAGCAGTTCTTCATTATAGTGGGTGTTACCAACTGCCAGGCTTCTGCTGTGAAGTGAACTGGACACAATGCACCCAGATTCTTCACAGTATCCTAGACCAATCCCCCATCATGGCTATAGCCTTCTGAATCAGCAGCTTTCTATAGTGGCACTCTGATGGTTCTGAGAATGCTGTTCTTTTGTAATCAGTATAATGATCAACAAAAAACAACATTTTGCAATTTTTTGGCACTTGATATTTTATTCAGTTATATGCCTGCTTTGCAGGGAGTGTTCTGGCATTCTTGAAATGTGTATTTCCCTTTTCTCTCTCTCCCTCCCTATTTCCCCATCAAGATCTGCGTTCTCCTACACATCCCTCATAAAACAGACCTTTCTAACCCCACTTGCAGCCCATTCCAGTGAAGTGCTTAGACAGACTTGGAAGGTGGGAGACATGTGGGTGGGAATGTCTGGTTCTCCCCAGCTCCCCACATGCTGTGTATGTATTTCTCTGCCTTTGTAAAACATCTTATGAACCTAGGCTGTAGTGGAAATTATGTTTAAGTGAAAAATATGTACAGATTAACATGCTTTGTTGCAGTGAAAATTTGTAAGTCTTTAAAATGAGGGATACCTGCATTTGTTTTGTTTATTTTGCAACTGCAAGAAACAGAGAAAAGAAAGCTAGAGTAATTTTGATATAGATTGTCTTTTAATTTTGCATTGATATTTCAACAGGCTGTGTTAGTGTGCTAGTAAAAATTCATGTCACAGATATGGAACCATAAATACACTGTCATATGAGGAACTTATCAATGGGAATACACTACAGTGGAACGCCCATGTAACATTTCTTGATTTAAGGTTTTAACGTTTAATTTCAATGATTTCAAGTTAGTAATCCCAGTGTTAGATCTCGTCTATTTTAAATATTTAATTTAGCACTCAAATTCACTGATCCCCAAAGAAACCTTAAATTGAAGTTTCACTGTAACCAGTCGGTTATGTCTGGCCAAAATAATATAGGTCAAGGCCAATTGAGTGGCATCTCCCCATTCCATTTCAAGAGGAGAAATTAACACAATTAACTACACTCAGTTCTTGGTAAAACTACTTTCTTACTGCAGATGTTCTACATATCTTGTAGGCTATTATGCAGATGATCATAAAATCAAAACCTAGCCAAGTTCAATTTTTATTACCTCCTTTCATTTAACATGCTTGCTGTTGCTGTCATTGTTGTCATGTTTTCTTTATTTAGCAGAAATTTAGGTGAACACATTATGCATAGGTTAAATCTGTCACACATAAGCTTAAGAGTCTCAGTTAACTGCTTATATTTCATGCTAGATTTGTAAATATGTTTATGATTATCTCCATACCAAATTTTTACAAAGATTCATTAGATATCATCAAACGAAAAGCTAAATACAGATTTCATAGTCTTCATTTTGTTTTACATACTACAAAACAAAATTTGCCTCAACAAAAATTCCAGTTGTTCATTGACATTTTACCATACATCACTTCAGGATCCTATATTAAATAACATCAGTGTCACTCCCACCTCACAAGTTTGTGTGTGAAGTGCACGGAATTTGTAAGATTTCTAATGGCATAATGTCCTTACCAGATTTCATTCAATTCAGTCACCTGATTCAAAAGTTGATAGGGGAGAATCTCACACACACACACACACACACACACACACACAGTATATTCATCTTGTGAAGAAGGAAAACAGATTAGTAATATGTATCATGATGCATTTCAGATAAAATACCTATATTTATAGTACAAATAATTACACAATTGACAAACCAAATTCATCACACAGAAAGACAGTATTTTTAACAAACAAGGCCCAAGCAACAGTTACTATTTCCAGGTCACTCAGTTCTGTTGGTATCTGCCTTGTGCCAGAACTTCTTTCATCTTCTTCAAGACTGTTGGTAGAAGACCCAAGTGCCCATCAACACACTTCACTGCACAGTGTTCAAAGTCCTTGCTATACCGACTAACCTGCAATAGTAAAGTATCTTAATCTCACAAGACTGTAAATAACAGCTCCCTCCTCTTTACCCTATTGCTTGGGAGGTGATCGCTACCTGTGTCTCTGGTTCCATTGTTGCATTCTCTGTGCCTCTCAGAGGGAATCGGGTGTCCAAGCTTAGCTTTAGAAAGAATAGACTAAATTTCCCAAATAAATATTTAATAACAGTTAACAACAATAAAGAAAATAAATAAGACTTAAACCATTACATGGGTATTTCAAACATGCATATGAATCTATGCCCTCGACCACCTTGGTTGGTCCAGATTAAAATCCTATAAAAGGAAAATATACATAAGATAGCCACATGGAGCCATCTATTTATCACAGACCTAGAAAAAGACCAACTCACATAACATTGCCAGACAACCCAGATTGCAATGTTTCCCCCCACTATCTAGCCATACAACAACATTAAATGGGGCAACAACAGCAAACAAAGCTCTCATTACAACATCACCACATAAAAATAACTTGCATAATGCTGCAACAAGGAGGCCCCTTGCCCTCAACAGCCAGAGTGAAAGTTCCAACAATTTGGAAATCCCAGCCTAAACAGAATTTAGTGATATTATATTTAAGCATCCTGTTGCACTTTATATGATATAACTCCGTCCTAAGTTCTTTCGTTTTGTTCTTCTTTATACACTGGCCCCAAACAGCCATCATCAGCTGTATACACTCACGTATCTGTTACACTGCACTTATTTATAACATTTAATTTAAAAACATAGGTCTTCTTGATTAGCACTTATAAAATCTTCGGTTCTAATTTTAGATTTTTAAGGATTTTTTAAAGGATTTCAAATTAGAACCGAAGATTTTATAAGTGCTAATTAAGAAGACCTATGTTTTTAAATTAAATGTTATAAATAAGTGCAGTGTAACAGATACGTGAGTGTATACACCTGATGATGGCTGTTTGGGGCCAGTGTATAAAGAAGAACAAAACGAAAGAACTTAGGACGGAGTTATATCATATANGGACGGAGTTATATCATATATAGAATTTAGTGACCTAATTTGCACAACTGATGGAAAGCGCAGACTGCCCTTATATCACTACCCACACAAACAGAGGTCTTCCTTTTATAAATGAGGGTGCAAGGGGAAATCACGTGGTACATGAAATTATGGGATAACGGTAAACAAGAGATGATGCGGATGCCTTGAGGGGGGGGGGATGGAGGGGAGGATACTGGGCCTAAATGGGCAACTCCTTAGCCATCTGAATGTAAATATGGCTCAGTAATATACATGTGTCGGAAGGTCTTTGCTGACAAAATAGGCCAGATACTTCTAGGTATAACAGAGCTGGAAGAATACATAAAATAAGCACAAATTTATAACTAACAGGTGCACTGGGAAATTTTTAACATTTCCTCTGCCACACTAAGCTTGAGTCTTCGCTTTCCCAACTTCTAATGAACTTCACTTGTAACATCTTAAAGATCAAATGTAGGGTGATATGGTAATGTAGTTAGTTGAGGCACTAGCTACAAGCTGCAACGTCACAGGATCAAGTCCCAATGAGGCAGATCCCCCCCCCCCAATTTACCTAATCCTTCCAGCTGCACTATGGCCCCGGGGTTGACTCAGCCTCTAACAGAAAAGAGTACCAGGAATCTTCCTGGAGGGTAAAGAATGGCCGGCGCATAAAGCTGACAACTTCAGATCCCTTTGTGAGCTGACTGTCTACAGAAAATGTGGGTGCCTCGAAGTCTCCCAACCCTACAGGCATTCACGGCCTTTGTTTTTAAGATGTTAAAAACATAATGATATGCTGATTTCTGTTCAAATTTATAGTCATGGCATTGTCTCAATCACAGCACATTTATGGATTCTTCAGGGCATGATTAGACTACACTTATTGTTACTAAAAATTTATAAAATTTCAATATAATTTTAATTTATGCCACCCTCTTTTAATGGAATGCACACAACTGGAAAACAATTCCTCCATTTCCACTATTAACTATTTGACTGTAATACAGTCATAAAATGTGCATGTAAATGAACTGGGGTTGGACAAAATAATGGAGACACTACAAATATACACATTTCTCTATTAATATGGTATTGGACCATTTCTGCCTTCATGACAGCCACAGTCTCTAGCAGAACTTTATACTATTCTTTTTGAAGAACACCTTAAAGTTGCTTTATACATGTTCTAGGAGGGAATCTGTTCCTCTAAAACTAACCAGAGTGTTCAATGATGTTCAAATCTGGTGATTGTGCTGAACAGGGAAGATGCTGAAGTTCATATTCATGCTCTTCTAACCATGACTGAACAGTTCCAGGTGTGAATGGGGGCACTGTCAACTTGGAAAGTTGCATCGTTGTTCAGAAAAGATGTCTGGATCATGGGATGCAGCTGACTACCCAACCTGTCCATGTACACCCTTGTAGTAATTTGGACATGAAAGGTAATATTGGGACCAACAGAATACTGTACCACGATACCACTACCCAAACCATCACATCAGGGAACCTATCCCACTGTTGGAACCATGCATTCTGGATTATAGGCTTCCTAGGATGTTCTCCACACATAAACTCTTCCTGATGCAGGAAACTGTGTGAAGGATGACTGATCCTGACCACATCATGTGCACATTTCCAGTTGTTAGATTTCCAGGTTTTACAGTCGTGACACCATCATTAACGCATCTGCGCATTACTTTCAGTAATCAAGAGGTTTAGCAATTGCAGCCCTACTGTGGGGTGTTGGAATTTGCGAAGTTCACATCAGACAGATTTTGTGGAAATAGGGTCTTCAAGACAAATATTCAGTTCTGCTGTTACCTGTACTGCAGTAGTTATGTTTTTTTTTCAAAACAATCCACAATGTACAACAATGTCTTTCTGATTTTCACCCACTGTTCCTCTTCCCTGATGTTGTCTTCCCATGATTCACGTATGCTGACATAACCTTAGAAACTACCATCCTCAATACATCTAATATTGTGGCAATTTCGGTCACAGATGCTCCAGTTAAACCCACACCAACGATCTGTCCTCTTTCAAAATCAGACAAGTCTCCCATTTTTCGATTCTTTCACATGAATTGTAACTCAACACAATTACTAATGCACTGACACTAGCACTACAGAGTGTAAACAACTGGAAGAATATTCAGTCTGGCCAACTGAAGTTCTTTCAATGCAGCCAACACAAACAAATTCTATTCCTCAATTTCTTAGTGTTTCTATTATTTTGTCCAGCCCCTGTACTGAGACTGAGTCCCCTTGGTACTTCAGCCACTACTGGTCTATTGTACCAGCCCCAGAGAGATGATGGTGATTGTGGAGCAACTGGTGGAAGATGGGCAGGGAAAACCAAAGTACTAGGCGAAAACCTGCCCCAATGCCGCTTTATCCACCACAAATCCCACATGACTACACCCGTGCTTGAACCCAGGCCACCATGGTGGGAAGCCACCAACTAACCTCCTGAGGTATGGCGCGGCCCGTCCAGCCTCTGTATGTCAAACAGTTACAATTCAAAAAGTTTAACCAAAAGAATAAAGAACTTACTTCTGCATCACTAGGGTTTGGCCCCATTTTATCTCTGATATCATCATTGCACTGCATGATACATCTTTGTAATCTATTCTGGAAAAAAAGTGCTTGGTATTAAAATGTTGAAAAGACTGGAAAGTGAATAAGAAATTGGAAGAACACTTTCTTCCTTGAATGCTTGTCCTATAGGAGTTTGGGGAAATGTTAAAGAAACATAAATTAAGACACTAATCTACAATAAACACATCTTCACACAAGTAACTATCACTCATTCACATGTTTTAATATATTACACTATTTACAGACTCATGACTGTAGTTACATCAGTGAAATTAAGCCATATTACTTCCTGTGTGCAAATATACTTTCATATATCTCCAACAAACACAAATTTGCACACAGATTAGATTACTTTATAGTTCCAAAATTTTCATGACAATGTGTGTGTGTGCTAGATACAGTAAGCATAAATAACTATTTTGCAACAAGCCTGGTAGTACATGAAATCATGTGGGTATATGCTTCAGAAACTCAAAACATGGTTAACATATTTTCAACATGTAACTTAAAATATATTTCTGTGTAAGTTAAAACGGTTTGAGTTATGACCTGTAAAAATGATTAAGGCCTAATTCAGTGACATGTTAGAGGTAATGAAAAGGGACTTGAATGACTGTTAACAGCAACTTTAAACAGTACACTAGGGAGAAGTGACAAAAGATATATGGAAATGTACGGAAAGAATGGACACACACCTAAGAGAATGTACAGAAAGTAAGAAAAGATGGAGAACTTACAATGCTAGCAAGTTCAGATGTGGTGATGGCTGATGATAGTAATTTTAAATAATACAATTCAGGGACGAATACAAATTTTCACCAATTTGCACAGCTAATTCACATTGCATACAAATATGGTAATATACAATATAATAAGGCTTGAAATAATGTACTCTTTATCAACTCACTTGCAAATGTTCAAACTCGCCTTGAATATATTTCTGTGCACTGTTTAAAGACACGGAACAATTTTCAACACATTGGTGTACACGTTCTATAGAGAGATTGTTATTTTCACAACATTTGGCTGCACAGCGATGCATATCGGCCTGCAACATTTACAAAGAATTTACATTTATTCATATTAAATGGTATGATTCGAATAGAACCATATATTAAATACGCTCTAAAATTCTTTCCTGAAGGGTCAGCACTGTTAAAAAGGTAAATTACCTGCATTTTTCGTAGATGAAGTTTATCAACTTCATTTACCATATTCGTCATTGCCTCTTCTACACGTGTCCTTTGCTCCTCAACCATTCTTCAGCTACAGAATTTATAAAAATGTGACACAATTAAAATAAATTATAGATTAAATTATATTCTTCTTTCCTTGCCGTTTGACCGATGCCTCATAACAACGAACGAATGTCGGTCACATGGACACAAATTCATAATATAGTTATGTGGTTATATCCGTGATTCACGGTGCGCCACACTTTGACGATTTTCGCTGTCAAAGTGTAACACTTCTAGCGACGCATTTAATTTATAATCTGCAATGGTAAAAGCACGTCTAAATAATAATACTACATTGGATTATAAATTTATATCACGCTACCACCTCAACATAAAATGTTAAACTGCAGAAACCGAAACTTTCGATCTTTCGAGTTCGGGCAACAGAACCACGGATTACTGCACTCCGCGGACCGCAGATTACGGACCTGACCGATGTTTATGAACTGGCAATGTTTAGTAAAATGATGTGATTCTTCTGAGGTTAGTACGGTGAATATTAATTCAAACAGAAGTGGGTTAATGCTGCTCAATATACTCCTGATTGGAAACAGTTTGTCACCCGTGGCGGCTTGTCGCCTAAATGGATAATGGGTCTAAAGTGCAGTGTTCAGTCATTCATTCATGTTTATTAATCCCGTAGATCAGATTACGCTGATGTAGAACATGTCATTTGATATTATAAAATTAGCAAAAATACAATAATTCTTAACGAATAGCTAACAAAATATGTAACAATTGTTTACCTCTAGCATGTATCATTGTCCAGTATTTAAGAATTTATCATTCTAATAGTCATTTGAATAGTAACACCCATTAATGAGTAAATTCTTCAGTTCCCTTATAAACTGGATTTTATTTTCAAAGTGTTTTATATTATTAGGTAATTTGTTGTAAAAGATAGAACCAGCAACTGAAGGTTTACTATTATAAAGTTTTAAGTTATGCACCCATTTATGGTAAACATTGGATATAATCAGAGTATCTGAAATTTCCACTATAACAGAAGTGGACATGATGTTAATAGCAATAATAATCTTTATTTTGGTTTAATTTTAAAGGATAAATTACCTTTTAATTAATTTTATTACAGCTCATGCTTTAAGATAATTCATTAAATGCATGCGATATGATTTCATATAGTTACCTTATTTGCAAAGAAACTGACTTCGATTTTTCTGTGATGCAAAGAACCCATTTACTTTCTAATTACACCTCCAAATGTCTGCAATTACATCTTTGTGGATACTCAGAACAGCCAGAGTATTGTGACATTCTTGTCCCATGGAGTTGATAGGGTAGGCCTTTACCCTTTTCAGAGCACTAAAGCTATGTTCCATCTCCCTGGTGTTCTTTGTACTCTTTCCACTAGTTTGTGCATTTCGAAGAAAGTATTTCCTAATTTCTTTTACTACATTCCAAAGAGTATAGGTGGACTTCATGTTGGGAAGTGTTTTACTTCTACAAACTACAAATAATTAACTAATTTAGCCTTTGAAAGCATTCAGCAGTATTTCACATTACTGACAAGTTCAGAAGGAAAATGTTCTTTATGAACCATATAAAGCTGTAGTTCAATCAGAGTGAAGGGCAGGGTGCAATTAGCCTCTTCAAAACAATGTTCAACTTGACACTTTTTCCAAGGAGCTGTACAAAATGTATTGCATTTTGTTATTAGATAAAACAGTAACACTGGAATGACTTCTTTTCACTCAAAGTGATGAAATTAATTTCATGGAATTTCAGCACATTTTCAATTACTTTGGATAATTCAAATAAAAAACTGAATACCATTGCCATTTTGTTTTCTTTGCACATTTAATGTACATCACTTAGAAATTCAGTTAGTTTGGATTACTTATTAATTAGAGCAGAACAATTTCTTCCTTAAATGTACTATATTCTGTAGCACTACATATATGAGGTGTTACAAAACAGACGAGAAACAACATAAAATACTGCAAAATGAAATGACAGCTCTTGCCCAACCTGACATCAGAGTAAGGAAACTATAATTTTAAAGCTGTGGAAACCAGTGACTAGTTTTCATTAAATACCTGTGAACACCTATGATTAGTGCATAAATATCAAAGAAGTGTTTGCTTAGAATTTGTGAATTACCCTATAAAGTTATAGCCAGTAACAATGAAAATATGAAAAGCAGATACTGAATTTCAGTATGAGAGATCGCTTCATGTTAGTTGGCCATTTGGATTTTCAGCCATATTGGATCAGTTACAAAAATGAATATACACAACTTGCATATAAATGTTATACAATATAATCTACAGAAAGCTAATCACTTCATCAGCGGCAACCAAATGTGCTACAGTTTTTCAAGGATGGTATGTTTTTAACTTGTGGGCTGTGTACATCAGAAGTTTAAAAAGATATGACTCCAGTTTAAACTCCATAAATAACAAATGTAAGTAATGGACGCGGTAGCATAGTTGGTTAAGGCACTATGCTACAAGCCGGAAGGTAGTGGGTTCAAGTCCCAATGAGGTCATTGAATTTTTTTAATTGACCTATTTCTTCCAGCCGCACTATCGCCCTGGGGTCGACTCAGCCTCCAACAGAAATGAGTACCAGGAATATTCTTGGGGGTAAAGGGCAGCTGGCACATAGGGCTGACAACCCTACTGCCACCTATGAGCTGACTGTCTAGAAAATTGGGAATGTCAACATCTCACAACCCTATGGGCCTCCATGGCCTATTATGGGGATACCTTTACTTTTTACTTACTTTAAGTAATGGAATGCATTTTGGAGATAGAAGCTTCAACTTACTGTAGCCTCATCATGCAGTATGTTCCAGTCCACTATTCCTGGTTCCTTCCAGCAGTGTTCAGTCAGAATGCAAGAATATGAGGTGTATCGCAAAGTTCCCAGACTAGGTAAAAAACAAATGCTGGCTTAACTTACTCAGTTTTGGCTCCCATCTCTCTCAAAATAGTCTCCTTCGCAACGTATACAGCGATCCCATCACTTTTTCCACGCTTCAAAAGCACCATGGAAGTCATATTCCTTAATGCTGTCAAGTACCGCTTGTGATTCCCATGTCAGTTTCAAAACATTGTCCCTTCAGTTTCATCTTCAATTTGGGAAACAATGCAAAATCATACAGGGCTAAGTCCTGCGAGTAGGGAGGATGGGAAATGATAACCATGTTGTTAGTCACAAATTGTGTGGTTTTCAGGGATGTGTGGATGGGCAGATTGTCATGATGAACGAGCAATGTGGCGCATGTTCAGATTTTCTGTTGAGATATCCTGGCAAACTCCATAATTGATCCCAACGGTGTCCGCAAGCTCACGGATTGTTGTTCGGTGACGGTCTTCCTTGATGAGTTCTTGAATTCTTTCAACATATTCTGCCATTCTGCTGGCGCTTGGTCGCCATGAATGTTTGTAATCTTCAACTGACACTTGACCTGCCCTGAATATGTGAATGCCATTGAAACACTGCTGTCTGGGTTAAAGAATATTCTCCAAAAGTCTGATTAAGCATTTTATGGGTTTCAGTAGTGGACTTGCCGAACTTCATGCAAAACTTGATGCAGACATGTTGCTTGATTTTGCCATCCATCGAAGACAAAATGAAACAAGAAGTCAAAAAAGCACTTTTGTAAAAACAATGCATGTTCACAGCATTGTGTCACATGGCAGACTGATGCAATAGGCTTGTGGAAGTGTGACCTTGGCCTGCCCTCTCATCTTCTTTCACAGAGACAGTTACAACAGTAACAGTCTGGGGACTTTCCAATACCACCCCGTATGATCTATTTTGTGATGAATTTGATTTGTTTCATTCTGGTCTGTCACACTAACAATTACAAAGACAAAAACAACACCGTCCAGTGTGACTATTTAAGTTTTATCACTTGAAAACTCATCACCCTTACATGTTTCGATCCCTACGGATCATCCTCAGAGGGCATCAGTACTTTTTCCAGAAACTACTATTACAATAGGTGTTAAATTATATACATACACATATAATGTCTGAAATACACAATGTACACATTGAACTTTTCACTGTCACAGCAGCCTTCCTGGTATTAAAATTTTTGAAGTTTTTTTAAAAACTTTGTTGTTTAGGATTAAAATTTATGATCCATGCAGGTTCGTGTCAATTCTCCTATTGTCTTTCTCGGAGGTGGCTGATCTTGTGCCGCCTGTGTATCTTGAGAAAGGAGATTCTTAGTATTGTCCGTGTTTGTTCGTGGCTTGCTGTGTTGTTTACACTGTTATAAAGTGATATAAGTGATAAAACTTAAACAGTCACACTGGACGGTGTTGTTTTTGTCTTTGTAATTTTGTGATGTTTTTATTTACTTCTATCCAAAAGAATCATGAGATGGGTGCAGTATGTAGTGCACATGGGAGATGAGAAATGAATACAAAATTAGACACAAAATCTTCAAGGAAGAAACCACTTCTAAGACTAGGCTTACACGGGGAGAATAATACTGAAATGGGTCTTAAATATACTGGGTTTGAGGAAGTAGATTGAATTTATATGGTTCAGAACATGGATCAATGACACGGTAATGAACACCAGATTCCATAAATGATGAATTTCTTGAATCACAGAGCTATTAGCTTCTGAAGTACTCCGCTCTATGGAGTTAATTACTCTGCCAGAACTGTGCCTAAACTTATTCACTCTTCTTGTGGGAAAAATCTTCATTATTTCTAAAACTTCATGAAGACATAAAGTGCATACTTGGTATGTGCACAAGAATATATAATAACCTTAATAGCTGTCAAGGCCTTAGGGATCTCTAAAGGGAAGATTCATGGAAACTGGTATCAAGACTAGTGTGTATTAAGATTACTGTCTTCTGGGATATGACCCCATGTACAGACACTCCCCAGCTTACAGAAGTCCCCACTTATGCAAACTGTTCCATGTGGCAAACAAGAAAATAAAATGTAAATTAAATTCTAGTGTTCTAAATGTAAGCTTTCTATGCTTACAATTCATTTTTTCCACATACAGTAAAACTTGGTTATAGCAACATCAGTTTCTGCGACACCTTGTCTATTGCGTCAAATATTCAATGGTACGAACTAATTCCTCATAAAGCAACTGTTTTTATACCTTGCTTAGTACGACATGCACAAATGCATCAACCTCGTATGTAACGTCATTTTCATTCCTGAATTTCTCTGATATCGTGGGAAAGTTCGATGTGTCTGCCCACCCTCACTTTCTCTACTTGCTGACGTGACTGTCCTGGAAGAATACGACCGCGGGCTGCAAGAGGAGCGTGGGTTTTATGCGAAAACAAGGGTGTGGGGTGGGACTGCGTGAATAGTGCAAGAGGACGCGGCAGGTTGTTAACTGCATTCCTTTCCTAGAATCTCGTCTAACAGGACCTCACATTGTCTACTTACCCTATAGTGTTCCTGCCTAAACCCAGAGAAGTGCAGTAGCGAAAACATGGCAATGAAAAGGAAAGTTTTAAGCATTGAAGAGAAAGTTAAAGTGATTCGTGAAATAGAAAATGGAAGGAAAAAAGCTGATGTATGCCGCGAATTTGGTTTGGTGAATTCTACAGTACAAACGATATGGAGGATCCATATTAATTCCACGTTAATGTTACGTTCGTCTGTATTTAACTACGTATTTCACTAAAAAATGCAACATTTTAACTCGGTTTTTGGTAGATTTTTACGTGACTAACATAAGGCTACTGTGGAAGTGCCCATTTCGGTTACGACGACATTCGTTTATAACGACACTATTTTTAGGTCCCTTTGATGACGTTATAACCAAGTTCTACTGTATTTCTTTTCTACAAACCACAAACACACATACGTATGTACATCATTAACTCACCAAGCTGAATCCTTCTTGAGAAGCTGCCAACTGTGCATCTACTCAAGAACTTCCCAGCATTTTATGGAACCTGAAGGTTTATTAATGTGTTCACAAGAGCCTTCCACTGGTCTCTATCCTAAGCCAGATTGATGCAATCCATAGCATCCCATCCTCTCTCTCCACGATCCATTTTAATATTGTCAACCCACCTATATCTTGGGTCTTCCTAGTGCTCTCTTTCCTTCTGGCTTTCCCACCAATGTCCTGTATGCATTCCTTTTCTCCCCCATTAGAGCTACATGCCCTGCCCATCTCATCCCCCTTGACTTGATCATTCTAATTATAGGTGGTGAAAAGTACACATTATGAAGCTCATTATGCAGTTTTCTCCAACCTCCGGTCACTTCCTCACTCTTTGGCCCAAATATTCTCCTCAGCACCCTATTCTCAAACATCCTCAGTCTATCTTCTTCCTTTAATGTCAGAGACCAAGTTTCACACCCATACAGAACCATGGGCAAAATTATATTTTTATATATTCTAATTTTTATGTTCTTAGACAGCCTATGTATAATAAATTTCAGAACAGAATGACTGTGTAAGTCAGGAAGCTTCTGTGTTTCAGTGAAAGAGTAAGCCAAGTCCAAATGTTGTGGATACTGGGAAAAGGTCAGTCAGGACAAGAGCCCTGAGCAAACCAATCAAGGCAGGGGATTTCTTTACTTTCCTCCTTACTCCTATTCAGTTTGCTCAGGACTCCTACACTGGCCATCCTTCTCCCTATTTCCTTATACTTCCACATTCAACTTTTATTTTTACCCAAAACTGCAGGCAGCATATTCCTTCAGAACTTCGTTAACTTTCTTTCAGACCACATGGCATCACACCCCAAAAGGCAGCATCTTGATAGTCCCTAACCCAAGATCAACTGTCAGATGTAGTGTGTACTATTGAAGCAATAAAACAAGGAATCAGGATGCCCCTGAGGTATACCGTCTTCACAACAAGAGCAGAATGTTCTACTAACTTCTGATGGCTCTGTAGGAAATATGTTCCTATATATGAGATATGATTGCTTCTGTGATGCACATCCACACTTTCTACAATGAATCTTACATGAGCCCATTATTGTTCTTTGCTAGAACCCATAATCCGAACAAGTTACATAATAAATTCTCTTCTTCATGCAATTTGAAGCTGCTTAATAGTAGGGTGAATTTACTGACTACACAACACGTTTTTTATTATCACTACATGTTTAAACCTCAAGAGTTCATCCTCAGGTGTATGAACATGGCTGTATAATTACACGCGGTCACATTCACTTTTCACTCATTCGACCCTGTATCTTATCCAGATTTACGCTCACTAATATATCGAGTTCTTTTTATAAAACATAGGTTAAAATTATTATTCTAATTTAATCACGACAACGATCATAACAGATCCAGCAGCATCAGAGAACGCGGAAGAACAGCGAGACCTCACAAACAAGTGAAAGTGCAACCAATAACATAAGTTGAACTTTAATTCACGAACTTTTAACCAATAATAATAATAATTAAACTAGTTAAAAAAGAACTAGACACAGTTGTGAGCGTAAGTAAAATGAGACTGTAAAGACAAGTGAAAGTGTAACCAGTGACATGAATTGAACTTCGATTCGCGAACTTTTAACAATTAAATTAGAATAATAATTTTAACCTGTGTTTTATAAAAAGAACTCGATATATTAGTGAGCGTAAATCTGGATAAGATACAGGGTCAAATGAGTGAAAAGTGAATGTGACCACGTGTAATTATACAGCCATGTTCATACACCTGAGGATGACCTCTTGAAGTCGAAACATGTAGTGATAATAAAAAACGTGTTGGGTAGTCAGTAAATTCACTCTACTATTAATTAAACACACAACAGGATGCAAGAAACTATTAAAATTGAAGCTGCTTGCTTGTTTGGCTTCCTTCTCAACCCTGAAGATGGTGGCAGCATGTTCCTTCAACATGTCACTGAACATGTACAAGACTACAGTGTTGAATCCCAAGATAGTACTCATTTTATACTTCTTCTGATAACCAATGAAATGCATGCTTTGCTACTGATCTTGTTGTAAAGATAGTTTATTATGCATGCATGACATCCCACCATATTTAAAAAAAATTTTGTATTTTTGTTTATTAAAATTGCTTTGCAGTATTACATCATAATATATATATTTTTTGTTGTTACTCAGCATCTCTCTTCAGTTTTGATATCTTGTACTGTTCACCCAAGAAACAATCACTAAGGGAGGGATACTGTACTATAATATTGCTGGCTTGCAAGTCTTAAACAAGGGGAATAACGATGAAATTAAGACTACATTCTTTCACTGAAGCTCTGAATAAAACTATTTTATATTCTGCCCAAATAAAAATCATACCCTTCCCTCCAACAAAAAATTCCCTTGTTGCAAGTATCAGCTAGCCACCAATTCCCTCCCATCCCCCACAAGAGGATACAATTTTGTTGCAGAATAAAATTGAAATTTTTTGTATAATAATCTGACCTTCCAGTCATTGTTAATGTCTCTTTGCCAATCAGTCCACAAATTTCCTTTGTAATGTCTTAAGAAAACAAATGAGTATAATAAATTAATTTAACAACACTAACAATTGCTTCTTCCTCCCTTACACAAAGAGGACATTCATCAATATCAATAATTTATACAGAAAAAGTAGATGTTAAACATGTGAAAGGGCAAGCCAGTGTGTCCATACTGTCATTTCCTTGCATAATTCAGATCAAAACGCTATGTACTTTCCATCCTTAGTCATTTCTTTCAAGTGGGCCATTATAAATATTTTACAAACTCTCTGAAGCTGTAATTCCCATCAAACCGACTCAAGGGGGTTTAAATAACATTGAAATATGCACAGTGCTGCAATTAAAGGTAAAAGTACAAATGAGGGATTACTGCATTTTATATCAATAATGAACGACTGTCACAACCCCTTGCTATTTTCAAATTGAAGGGTTGGAAGTAACAGAGGCTACTTTACAAAGAAAAAAAAATCATCACATCTCTATAATCATGTAGTCACATGCCTTCAAAAACTGCACCAATATTTGTAAGACTTCAACAATACAACAAGAGTATATATCAATCTGGGAAATATTAAGACTGCCTACAGCTAATGTCTCCCTCTTCCTCAAAGTGCGTGACATGCAGTGTAATGTTGCAACCTAGCAGTCTGGCCACAACTGTCACTTATAAAACAACAATTTTCAGGCCAAAACATCATTCTGGCATGCAGATGAGCTTTTTTTTTTATGATATGGATGGGTATTCAGTAATTTAAGACTCTTGCACTTTGAAAGCCAGGTCCACTGCAATTAAGCTGTACAAAAATTCCAAACTGACGAATGCACAAGCATGTGCAAGATCTGCAAACTGACATCACAGCTACCAATAATGGACTGCACTTCACCTTTTATCTGACATGTTCTTTAGTGCTGAAAACAATGTACCTCAAATCCCACCAATTTCCAACATCAAGAAACCACCTTTCTCTACACAGAGGACAAGAGAGAGATAACGAGTTTACACTATTTCAAGAAATCAGTTTCTGTACCAATTTGGAATTACTGACAAATTATCCTGCACACAATTACATATTACAGAAACACACTCAACAGTAGGCAGAAGGTACTATTCAATGTAAGACAGAACGGATGGAACCAAATATTATGACAGGAGTATTCCAGACTTGCAAAAATGCACCTGAATGAGGATAGTAGGAGCTTAGGTTGTGGCAAGGCCTCTTTACAAATACTGGTGCTTGTTAGATGTCACCGCCCACCTCCCTGCTGTCTGTTGCTACTAGCCTGCTGCCTGCCTACCCCCAAACCACTCCATCTACCAAAAGGTATATCCTCCATCAGTGCCTCCGGTAAGGAATGAACCCTTTTTTTGAGTGAGTGCAACATTGTGACCTGCCATGGCTGCCAACTGTGCAGCATTTGCTGGAACACCAGGTGGAGCTGGTGGCAGTACTGGCTGTGCAATGCCATCAAATCGTGCTCCAGCTTCAAAACCATTCTGGGGAAAAACACAATCATTCACAATTAGTACACATTGCAGAACACATGTATATCACATCCATTTCAATTAAGAGCAGGAATGTCAGTTTTGATAATTAATTTTAACATCTGAAACAAATGAATGAAACATAAGTTGTGTAGAATATACCTAGATATGTGTACAAATGGATTTATTTGGTATGGCTGTTCATTACACATATAATGTATTTGGTTTTTAATGTTGAAAATATGTATTTTATTTATGTATAACTGAGTCACGCTCTGTTATTGGAAATGACATTGAACATGACCCCAATTCTTGGATTATTGTCTAAACCCACTTTTCTACCGACTGATGGCTAATTAGATGTTATCCAACAATGCAAGTCGCTACACATTTTCTTCTGTGTTGCATAACTCCATGAAATGAGAACAGTTCCTTCTGATTTCTGTACACTACTTGTTATTATTCCAAACATCATAATACAGCAGATTAATAACTGAAGGATTTGGTAGTCATTCTGTGAATATGACAAATCCAAGTGTCAGCACCATATGACATTTTCAAAGGGCACAATAATATAAATGTAAAAAATGCTTATTTTTAACATTCAAAATGAAACGTATTGTGGTGTATTGGCTCTATGCAGGAACTGTTGAGCCACAGAGGCCTCAGGGCATGCGCACAACATGAGAGTTGTGGACTGTATCGGTGCGTTGCTAGGCGACAACTCTGTCAACCCTTGGATTGCGCAACAGGAAGTGCAAGTGATGTCACATACCCCACTCATCCCGTAACTATGCAACACTCTGTAAACACCCCTCCCCGCTAGGCTGTGACGTCATGTAACAGGCGAGTCCGTGCAGAGACTATTGCTAGGCAGTCTGTAAACACGAAGTTACGCAACAGTGGTAGCTATCATGTAACTGTTTTCTGTGTTGTCAGTGCGGGAGCTACACATGTCAATGTTGAACGAGAGAGAGGGCCAGTTACTAGTGTTAAGAGCAGTATTCAGTATGAGTTGAAGTCCAGCAGCTACAAGTTGTGTTGCATCGAGTGAATGGAAGTGACTAAAGCAGAAGAAGTAACTGTGATATTGCAGATGGCAGTAACTGTGAAATTGTGAATTGTGTGTCAGAGCAAGCGTTCAATAAATTCACTAGATCCAAGAACAGCGTGAAGTTATGTGTCGTGTCACTACAGCAACATGTGACAATTTAGTGTCAGAACATGACAGTATCTTTCAATGCAAACAATTCACCAAACCAAATAAATCTGTTTATACATATACTAAGGTATGTAGGATGTGAGGTTCTTATGACAGTGGTTATGAAGTGTTCTGTCTTCTTGGATATGATATCATGTAGTCCACTGAAAAGTCAACCAGTGTCACCTTCATCTTCAGAGTTGAAGAATAAGCCAAGCAAGAAACAGGCATGAAGCAGGCAGCAAGCAGCTCTGCTATATTACATAACATTATATTCCAGAAGATAGGATTCTTCATGTTTAGATACCTTCTTTATAACTTGTATGAGTTTCACTGAAATTACCAAAATACAACACCTCACACAAAGATAAGGAATATTATGTAACAATCTAAATATGGTTTCATAACTGCCACTGTGGTTCCCTGTGACAAAGAAAATTCTGAAGGGCAATACATTCCATTCCTTTTGGAAATAATGCTATTATTGGTTTTCTTGCTCTTCTTTAACTTCAGTAAATGAAGAGATATTCAATTTTGAAAGAAACTGCATATGCACACCACTAGAAGCCCCTACACAGACCATCAGTTGAAAAGCCAGTATCACCACAGTCTGCAAAGTCAGCAAAGCCTGCACCATAGCATCATATTGCTATTACTTCCTGTAACAGTAATTTCTTAATTTGTTTAGTGGGGGGTGGAGTTCAACTGGGTCCACTCGGCACGGTGGCCACTGACTGGCCTATTGTAGCCTGCCCGGGGTGTTTATGATTGAGAATTTGGTGGAATGAAGATTGGCAGGGGAAACTGAAGTACTCGGAGAAAACCCGCCCCAGTGCCACTCTGTCCACCACAAATCCCACTTGACCAGACACGGGATCAAACCCGGGCCACCACGGTGGGAAGCCAGCAACTAACCGCTTGAGCTATGGTGCAGCCTCCTGTAACAACTCTGCCACAACATTGCAAGTACACTACCAACAACATTTACACCATCTTTAGAAACCCATTGTGACTGATTAAGGAGTGATCTGGCAGTTCATCTTTTGGTCATTACAATAATCACTTGCATTACATATAAGACAATGATACGCTTATCACTAAACTGAATGGCATAATTATGTCTTACCTTATTCATAAAATATTACAGTTAGATTTACTTTAGAGTCTACATGCACAAATATACAGGCATGCACACTTGCATGCATATGTACAAATGGACGTGAAGGTGGGGGGGAAGGGACAAAAGTTTCTTCTGCAAAACATTCCTACATTTGGAAAGCATATAATAGTGACAGGTCAGCACTTACAGGAACCATGATTGTGGGCCTCAGCTGGGCAGGCTGCATGCCTGGATATGAGTATGCTGCTGCAAGAGATGGATAATATGCCTGCATGGGACTATATGCAGCAGCTGCTGCAGGATAGCCCAGATATCCTGGGTAACCTTGAGCTGCATACATCTGTGCTGCTGCGCTCTGTGCATACATCTGCAAGCATAAAATTCAAATCTATAATTGACTGTACTGGTATTTAATGCAAGAAACTGAATATCACACGTGAGAGGGTAACACTACTGCCTCATACTTTGGATTACCAGGTTCACATCTTGGTCCACAGATAGCCATCATGACTGAAGGTTTTGATGTTTTCCTCAGCCCCACTAGAATGCCAGGTTAGAATCTAACATTATGCCATGGTCACATACTTCCACATTCTTTGCAATTCATTATTCACTACTACCCTGCCATTCAATGTTATGTATGTGAATTACTGAAAATGTCATTAAACAAACCAAGACCAAATAAAATTACTGCACCTGTGGTTAAGCTACAGAAGTTAACTGTAACTGTTTCATGTCAAAATACAATCTTTCTTACTCTTTGACTCTATGGTCCTCTTAAGGGTCTTGAATTTCTTTACAACAGATGTTGACTCTTCTGTTATTTGCTTTTTTTGTCTCCACCTCCAAATACAGCCTAGTTGTTACAAATCATACATACACCATTTTACATTCACCCCCTACATTAAATTTTGTGGTCCCAGGCCAAAATAAACAGAGTGGGAAAGTACAAGTTAGTTGGCTCTCTGATCCATGATGCCTACAAAACTATACAAATATGTTTTGGTCTTCCTTCCATCAACTTAATGATGAAATATGTTGGCTACAAGACCAGATTGAGTCAAGGTAAAAATTTAAGGGAGTTTTAGGCATAAAATACGTTTTTAACATTAACTTATAGATTTATTTATAATATAGGATAATTTAGCTGTTAAAATTTATCACTTATATCTGTAAGTGCTGGTATTCACAGACTCTCAGCTTGTCAGTACTTCAAATCCAAGTTAGCCACAAGTCTATCTTAATTGAACTGAACTGAATTTAATTTATTTACATTCTATAAATCCTAAGTAGGTTAGTACCTTTGGATACAGAACAAGTCAAAAGGTTACATACATAAGTACAGGCAATTTTAGCTTAAAAATTAATATAACTTAATTTTACATCATTCTCTATTTACATTGAAGTATTCATCTAAAGAGTAGAAGGAATGAGCATGTAGATAATTCTTTAACTCTGATTTAAACTTTTTAGTATCATTGCCCAAGTTTTTAATACTTTGTGGCAGATTGTTGAACACTTTTATGCCAGTAAAGTAGACTCCTTTTTGATATACTGATAAAGTTGATGAGGGTAGGTGGAAGTTATATTTTTGTCTAGTATTCATGTTATAGACATCAGAATTTAATTTGAATTTATCTTTGTTGTAAACAACAAATAAGAGAAGCGATAATATGTATTGCGATTGAAGAGGTAGAATTTTTAATTTCTTAAATAATTCTCTACATGAATCTCTACTTCTACATCCTGTAATGATTCTAATTATATTCTTTTGTATTTTAAAAATTATTACACTATGTGAAGAGTTCCCCCAAAATATTAATCCATAGTTCATAATAGAATGAAAGTAGGCATGGTAAACCATCTTCAATGTTTCCTGTGACATAAAAGGCTTAATTGATCTCATCGCATAGCAAGCTGCATTTAATTTAGGTATAATTTGTTCAATATGTATTTTCCAAGACAGTGTACTGTCTACATGTATTCCAAGGAATTTTGTATCAAGTACTTTACAGATTAATTTGTTGGCATAACTGATGTCCAGATCAATTTGGTGGTTGTTTTTAGTTGTGAATGATATGTAATGGGTTTTATCAAAATTTAATGAGAGTAAATTGGCTTCGAACCATCTGTTTAAGGCTTCAAATACAATATTTATGTCATTTTTAAAGTTTTCAAATTTAGAGTTCTTAAATATTATACTAGTGTCATCTGCATATAGAATTGGTTTAGATTTATTGTTGATGGTTTTAGATAGATCATTTATGTAGAGAAGAAAAAGTAAGGGACCTAAAATTGATCCTTGTGGAACACCGTGCTTTATAATTCCCCAGTTTGAAAATGCATTATGACTGGAGTTTTTATTATTTATTTCAACTCTTTGATACCTGTTTTTGAGGTATGATTTGATCCATTCATTAGCTTTGCCAGTTATTCCATAGAAATTTAATTTCGATAGTAAGATATCATGATTAACACAATCGAAAGCTTTTGCTAGATCACAGAAAATCCCTCCCACAATTAATCTGTCATTGAGAGCACTTAAAATATCGTTAGTTAGTTCATAGGTTGCTTTTTCTGTTGTTAGGTCTCTCCTAAATCCAAATTGCTCTTTGACTAATATGTTGTTAGAATTTAAGTGTTCAAGTAGTCTATTATACATAACTTTTTCAAAGACTTTTGAGAATGAAGTCAATATGGATATTGGTCTGTAATTAGAGATGCATTTTCTCTCTCCTTTTTTAAAAAGTGGTTTCATTACAGTATATTTTAAGCGTTGAGGAAAAGTACCTGATGATAAAGATTTATTACATAGATGATTCAAGGGTGAACTGATGTAAACAGAGCTTGCTTTAAGTAATTTGGTAGAGATTTCATCATATCCATGTGAATTTTTGGGCTTAAGGGATTTAATAATGTTTTCAATTTCCTTCCTTGTTGAGAATTTGAGATTGATATTTGGAAATGAATTGTTAAAGGCACGAGACAGATAGTATATTGGATTATTATTATTATTATTATTGGAATATGTTTTCTCAGCTAACGAAAGGAAATATTCATTAAATGCACTTGCGACAGCTTGTGGATTGTTAGGCAAACAGGCCCACCTGTTTGGCACCAACAAAGAAGACACAGAGTAGAATGAAGAAAGCCTTATTACTGGCCATTTCCTAGAAGACTGCATCAGGTGGGCATAAAATCTCATGCAGTGATAACAACATAGAATTATAAGCAGTGCTTACTGAATAATTTTCTCACGAAAGTACATTTACATTACTATCAGCAAATGGTTGAAATCTTTACATAACACTTCAGTGTAAGATTCTTTAAAATATTATTGAAATACATTTTATAATATTTGTATTTCTTATTCAGCAATATATAATCCATATTTATATTCTAGTGTTCTATATTTACTGTTATAGCCTTGAAGATGGGGAAAATACAACCCTTCTACCAGACTACGTGACGTCACATCCCTTAAGGTAGTAATATTACATATCAAAATTCTGTCCCTGTGGGAGGTGTGCTAATACAAAGCTTTATAACAACGTACCTGCTGATTCACTGCAGCAGCAGTAGCTGCAGCAGGGTGTGCCAAGGACTGGTCATATGTTGGGGGTGGACCCTGGGCTGCAGCAGCGGCAGCATAAAGCTGCGCCTGTGATGGAAATACTCCATACGGAGCACCGGCACCTGGCACTAACACACAAATACATATGAATTACATAACACTTTCATCTGGAGATCCAATTTAAAAACTGCATCCCTAATTGCTATAAGAAACAGTCACCAATGATTCTGGTGGACATGACGAGCCTCACATGGCTAAAAAATTCAGAAGACAAACTCTGTGGTCTTTTGTCCACAAGAGCACTATACCGACCAAGTGACCGCTGCATGTCAGCAGTGTTAATGCCAAATTTGCAGAAAGAGGGTGTCACTTGGTCAGCACAACGGATTCCCACGGCCATTAGTTATCTAGACCAGAGCCACTACTTTTCCACTGAAGTAGCTCCTCAATTATCCTCACAAGGCTGAGTGGACCCCATTCCAGACCCACTAGTTCTCAGAAAATCTGGTAGTGCTGGCAATCATACCCAGGGCCTCTGGATCTGTAGCCAGGAATTCTGACCACTACACCACAAAGGCGGTCCAGAAATTATATATGCTGTTTCTGAATTCTGCTAAATTTCACTCTAGAATGACAATCAATTTTATTTTTAGACACAACATGGCTTCACTAATACCAACAGCAAGCTGGTCATGACAAAAAATGAATGCATGCTGAAAATCAAACAAAAATGTAAGTCAATCACAACTCCAATTGCTGTTGTCAGATATCTGGTGACAAAAACCTGTAATGTTTGAAATAACAGCACTGAGTTTACTGTATAAGAATACTGAAAGAATGAAGAAAGCAAGCAATGAAGGAGGCTTCCTTGCAAACAGCAATAATGAATTTAGTATGTATCATGTTATATGTGGTTTTCCTCTGCATTTTGACTAAAATAACTCAGAATAGACACTGCAGCTTATATTTTCCTCTCCTATGTCAAATATAAGCTCATACTTATCTCTACATTCTTCTACCTCTAGAAATAGGATGTCATTAAGGGAAACTGTTCAATCACATGCAGAGTGTTAAAAGAAATTCAAATACATTTTTCTTGGCAAGAAAAGTATTTCTGTTAGCATAAAACATTTTTATCCTTTCCGTCTTTCTTCTGAAAATACCTATCTACATGCATGAAGTTAATGTCCCGTAGGCCACGCCATAGCTCAAGCGGTTAGTCGCTGGCTCCCCACTGCGGCGGCCCGCATTTGAGTCCAGGTCTGGTCAAGTGGGATTTGTGGCGGACAAAGTGGTGCTGGGGCAGGTTTTCTCCGAGTACTTCAGTTTCCCCTGCCAATCTTCATTCAACCAAATTCTCCATAATCATAATCACCCGGGGCAAGTACAACAGGCCAGTCAGTGGCCGATGTGCTGAGTGGACCCTGGATTCCCCCCCCCCCCCATCCGCTATAATGTCCCATAAATGTCAAAAGCTTTAGAAAACATGTAATTGTTCTGTCAAATAGAATCTACTGCACATGTGACCCTATCATGAAGCACTTAAATCTACACTGGAGTCAGAGAAAAAATTAACACAGCTGGTGTGAGTTCAAGTCAGCTATTTTGCTCCCCCATCCTACCTACACTGCACACTTCTCATCAGTCAACACCAACAACAAACTGAGAATGCAAACAGAGAGAAATCCTGGGAATGAAACAAAAGTGATAATACAAGTGATAACTGGTACTGGTGGGGAATGTGTTCATTCTTTCCTTGACCCAACATTATGTCACATTTTAACTGTTAACATACCACTCTTTATAAAATTTGGATCTCATAATACACCTTATTATGTTAACCATTTGTGCAGTAATAATGGTCCTCACTCATGCACTCTGAATGGCCAAAGAGCTATCCTACAACCCCATCACATTGGCCTTGTTGAAAAATATGAAAACTTGGTATTTATTTCTAAGGGATTATCAAACATTCAAACAATATGTAAAAAACTGTTGGGGAAATGTCTGGGCATTTAGAACTCAATGCTGAATACAAAATGGATCTTAGTGAAACTTCGTATATTACATGTGAGAAAATATGTGAAAGAATTTGAAAAACTGAAAAAGAAACAGTGAAAATGTTGTGGTGATGTGAACTGTACTAAACAAAGCACAAATATAATTTATTTAAAATGAATACAACTGAATGTTTATATCACAGAGGTCATAAGGTAGCCTGAATGGAGGTAGCAAGGAATGCATACAGACTCTTGGAGAGGAAAGCTCCCGGATAGTGGTCCCTTTGGAAGACTGATGAAAGGGTAGGAGTGTAACACTGAAATGGGTCAAAGAAATGTTGTGAAGATGTGAACTGAATTCAACTGACTCAGAAGTACATCAAATGGCAACACTGCCTTCAGTAGTGTTTCACCTTGAGGTTTTATTACCACTGTTAAGGTCACATATTCACTCTCTGATGTAACCCATATCAATTACACTGACATATGTGCGAAATAAAAACAATACCTTTAAACAGTATGCAAGACACCACATTTCAAAATGATCTACAAAAAGTGCTGTGTCTTTCACTTGTACTAACCACAAGACACACGTATAAGTTCTTGACAGCTACGAAAGAAGTGCTAAATAGACTAAATGTAAAGTAAAGGAAGGGAAAGCTATCCCTGTAATAGGCCTTGGAGGACCATAGGCTTGTGAGATGTTGAGGCTCACATTTTCTAGACAATCAACTCACAGATGGCGGCAAGGCTGTCAGCCTTACATGCCGGCCACCCTTTACCCCCAAGAATATTTAAAGAATATTACTGGTACTCATTTCTGTTAGAGCCTGAGTTGACCCCAGGGCCACAGCGCATCTGGAAGGGTTAGGTCAATTGAAAAAATCCAATGACCTCATCAGGACTTGAACCCGCAACCTTCCGGCTTGGCTTGTAGCATAGTGCCTCAACTAACTACGCTACTGCATGCCACAAATTGATTAAATGAGCTACAAGAAAGTTTAATGTGCCATATCTGATATTGAAACTTATAATTTTCGAACATAATCAGATGACTGTAGTTCTTCTGGACTATGAATGTTTTAGTCTCATTTTTGGCCTTTCAAGCAAGAGTGGTAGTAATGAACACACTCAACATCAGGGTAATGTTGCAGTTAGGTAACAGTATGTGAGAAATTTGCAGAACCTGAAGATGACTCATTTGAGGTCAAAACATGTTATATAAACATGCTATATAAATGTAAATAACAAAGTATTGTTGTGTTGACAATACAGTTATACATGTGCTGTTTCTGACTGCATTACTGGGGACTTTATTGTTCTAATAAACAATAGTGTTCATAACATCTGCTGACACATGTCATGACAATTGTTGATTTGTGTACCCAGTGTTCAAATTCAAGAGTAAAACATGAGACTGCTGATACTATGTAAAGGAACATTAATGCTTCACAGGAGTAATTCTTCTGCAGTAACTTCAGAGAAGCAATTTGTTCAAGAAGGGATGAATTCATTACCTGAACAAAAAGTTTCAATGTATATATAATTAAAGGCAAAATTGCTGTATATCATATTACACTCCTGGGGAGTAAATTACTATATCAGACAAGAGAGACAAAGCTTTACTTCAATAAACACTAACCCACTGAACAACCACACTACTGATGTTAATGGCACTGCTGAAGTACAAGAACTAGATGATAATATTATAAACATAGTCATCATATTTTGTGATATTTGTATATTCATACTATCACTGGTAGTACAATATTGTACTGCTTATTTATCTAATATGACCTTTCCACATCCTAAGGTATTTGGATTTTATGGAAATAAGAGATGAGTAATGAAAATGAAAAAAGAGCTTGTACTGACGCCTGAAACCTCTGAGAGTTCTTTGTCTTGGTTCTGCGTTTTGTTTGTTAACTGGGGGAGTTTTTCTTGTATATATGGTTGATATGTTCCTGTGGGAATGGAATGTTTGTTTTTTGATCTGTGACTCATTCTATATCCAATGGTTGTTTCCCAGCCTGTATCAGGATCTATTTTGAATTTGAAATAAATTGAATTCAATTTAATATGATGCTGCACACATTCTCTGAACCTTAACACTTCCCATGATGCAACTGTTTACTAAAATTTGTAAGTCCTGTCAACATATCCAGCCAAAATTTAAAATGTTTGTATGTCAGTCAAGTACACCACCTAGGATCATTCAAAAGGAGTAAAATAAAGAGTAATGTAAATAAATAGCAGATTGTAGAACACAATGTATATTATGCAGAGGCAGGAAAGTGCTAACAGAACATGAAGGAAACAACATGCAAGGGGAATCTCAAATGTAGTATACAACCTGGGAAAGCTTAACTGATTTACATTCAGTTTTAATTTGTTCCAAAGAAATTATGAACTGGTTGATGAATACAAGTATAAGAAAACATATATTTATTATAAATCTGGAAAATATTCCATCCATAATATAAGGGGTAAACACTTGATAAAGAATTGATATGTTAAAATAACTTAAATGTGTGATACAATAAGACTGTATGTACATGTGCATATGTGTACCCACATGCGCATGCACAGAGATTGAGTCTGCTGCATATGATTCCAGCTGGTCCAGTGACGAGACATGGAGATAATATGAGCTCCTCCTGTCAACCCCTTCTGCAGGTTTTCAGAACCATGGCAAAACAGTCAAGTCCACAGGTCAATAAACCACAAACAGAACACACCACGATCATAGCAGGCATCAGAACAGATCCTTGCCATTTCACATATATTCCTTGCACCATCAAAATACAGGGTCCGGCAAATCGACCTCCCATATTTGGAGAGGGCGCTGTGTGAGTTGTGGTGGGGATACGGCGGCGGAGGGGATATCAATCGATAGCGGTATAAGTGCCATTTGCAGTAGTCGCAATGGCGTGGCACGGTGAGCATCGTGCGTTTGTTGTGGAAGAGTATATTCGTAATGGTGAATCGGTGATTACTACTCAGCGAGCATTTCGCATTCGGTTCGAACTTGGGCGACATGGTCCTGTTCTGGATAGAAAAACTATTCATGTTTGGGTATCAAACTTTAGAGCAACAGGTTCTGCACTGAAAAAGAAATCGCCTGGCCGACCTCAGACCGTAACAACGCCGGAAAATGTGGCGCGTGTGAGAGCGTCCATCCAGCAATCTCCAAAGCGTTCAGCACTTAAACATGCAGCTGCCCTGGGATTGTCTGATAGGAGTGTAAGAAGAATCCTGCACAGAAATCTACACATGCACCCATACAAAATGATGGTTACCCAAGAATTAAGTGAGAGAGATTTTGAAACTCGCAAAGCTGCGTGTGAGGACATTCTTCAGAACATTCCCTCTGGCGCTGTTTTGATTTCATCTGATGAGGCCCACTTCCACTTGTCAGGTACTGTAAATAAACAAAATTTCCGCTACTGGTCAGCAGAAAACCCTCAGGAACTTCACCAACGACCACTTTACAGCCCTCGTATGACAGTTTGGTGCGCCGTTGCTGAATTTGGTGTGTGGGGTCCTTATTTTTTCGAGGAAAATGGGCTAACGGTATCAGTTACTTCGAATCGCTACTGTCACATGATCGAGACCTTCCTCCGACCTAAGTTAAACCAGTTTGTTGGGGACCATAAAGAGGGACAAGCCTGGTTCCAACAAGACGGAGCCACAGCTCACACTTCGCGGCGTTCTTTAGCAATTCTGAGAGAGTTGTTTCCTGGATGTCTTCTCTCTTTGCGAGGAGACATCGCCTGGCCCCCAAGGTCACCCGATTTATCACCTTGTGATTTTTTTCTTCAGGGACACTTAAAGGCGCAAGTGTACAAACATCGCCCCACAACCCTGCAAGCACTTAAGGAGGCAATCACCCAGGCAGTAGCTGCCATTCCACCGGAAATGACACGAAGAACTATGGACAACTTCCGGGAAAGGCTTTGTCAATGTGTGAACAATGGAGGACGCCATTTACCAGAAATAATTTTTAAAACCAAGTAATGTAAAATAGCATCATATTTGTTGTTCACAAATAAAAGTATTTTTTCTGTATCTTTCTTTGTTTGTTTGTAACTGCCTTTTGAAATACAAGAGGTCGATTTGCCGGACCCTGTATGTTTATATTCACATGCTTAAATTCCCTAATGAAAGAGCAGCAGACCTGAAACATCAAACCTGAAACTTTAAACCCAGTCTCTTGTACAAGGTATCCGAGGCTTTTAAACAGGAATGTTCAAGCCTATGATCAATTTCATCCTGTTTCTCTTCAGCCAGCACCCAGCATTTTGATTTGGCTGTCTCAAGTTTATGTATGATGTATAAATAGTCCCCACACCCCAACTTGGAACCCTAATATCCTGAAATTTATGCTGGAACCTTCCTCTTACTTCGTGGATACAATATGTGAACACTCATGCCATTCTGACAGACGTAACATAACTGGCTGACAGTTTATTAGAGTACCAAGGCCTTGAAATTATGGTCCACAGGCATTTAACACACAAGCTTCTTTCATGGTTATACTGGAGCACAGGTAATGAGAATGTGATACTGTCCCATCGATTATGCCATTTAGTTTGAATATGCATTGTTGCAACTTTAAACAAGTGGCATGAGCCCCTCCCACAGGACCAACTGAAGCATTTACAGCAGGCTCTAAGATAACCTCTCTGCATAACCAGAATCTAAAACATAACTGCCCAGGTACAACTGAAGAAACTCACCTCCATAGGCTCCAGGAGGAGGAGCAGGCACATAAGCTGCTGGTGGCTGACCGCCTACAGGGTAAGCTGAAACATAACACAGAGCTCATTGTTAGTGGTCATCAGATGGTGGCAGAACCCTAGCGAGTGGAAATGTAGACACAAGTTTACATGGCAGGTGGGGGGGGGAGACAGACAAACATTATAACGGAAGGTCAAGAGTGAACCATGAAATGTTGAAAAGCAGAAACAGTATGAGAAAAGACTGTGCACAGAGTGATTGTGATGCTCAGTACTGCCTTACATTGCAAGGCCTGGGACTTTAGCATTTCGATTATTCAAGCTACTTGTATTTTCATGACTGCAGATTGCACTACTCCAGAGCTGCATTTCTTTTCGATTACTGTTATCACAGTCTCTCATGCAACTTACTGAAACAGTTCTCAGCGGTGTTTAACAAAATTTATAGCATATAACTGATCACAAACTAAGTCACTTTACCTCACAACTTTGATATCAAACAATGTTGACAAATATCAACCTGTAGTTTACAGAAAAGATGATAATTCACAGGAGACTTAGGGTACAGTAACCGACTTCTACTACAAGCACTGAGCACCAAGAAGCAACACACTGAGACACATTACTGGTCGGAGAAGTGGCAAATGCCTCAATTGGGGAATGAAGACGACTATCAATTTCACAACAGACAAGAAAATTTAGAAGTCTCTGCCTCAACTGTGTCATATTCTGAGTCACTTCCAATAAAGGTCTGAAGGTTGATGGGGGAAAAATCAATTTTAGAAATCCACAACATTTCAACAATCATTGCACAACTGGTTCACCTTAAGTAAATGCTTTTGTTTATTTTTCTCACTATTAAAATTACTTAAATTAACTGATGTTGACACCAAACACATCTAGGTGCGACAAACACTTAAAAAATCTGCTTTCCAAACGCCTGCCAATTGGAACAGCCCACACGGAAAAAATTAAAAAATGTAATAAAAAATTGGAAACGGAGTAAATTTGATAAAATAAAATTTGGAACTGAATTTCTTTTTGCAGACCACACCACTAAATAAAATAAACCCAAGCCTTTGCAAAATTATGCATGCCTTGCTACAAAAATAATAACAAACTAAATATACAGATAAGACCAAACTACTATCATGCACTACTGCTGCACTGAACGCTCACACTGCCACACAAATCACTAGCTCAACCTGAGGCATCTGAACACTGCTGTGTGACAACAGAAATGTGAAGTAACGGAATGCATGCAAGTGTGCAATTGACACATGTTGACATCAGTTTGCACTAGCAGCAAAAACATTCAGGTTACCAGGGATCACAACAAAATCCTCATTCTTATCGCTGGAAACACTCGTCACTGATCTGTGCAACTGGTGCCAACTAATAACAACCCAGCAATGAATGACATTCCAAAGCTACATACCATTGCATTTGATTACCATCAGCCCAATCATTCAGTTCATATTCAACTGTGTTAACCAAAGCTTTTCCTTATTCTGTTTACATATTTTATTCAGCCATCTGTTCTAGAGCAATGAAAGAAAACAAAGCCCAAAATTCTACAGACTCAGCTGATGGGAATCTCATATATACAGTCCTTTAAGCAATGTTATTTGGTTCAACTCAACTCTATTGCAACCAACTACCTCTGAAGCACTGTTGCACCATCCTGGGGTTCTATGTTCCTTAACATCATAAAGGCAAAGCTGAAGTTGTCCCTGTGATTAATTTAACACCATGCCATGCAGACATATAAGGGAATGGAGCTACAGCTCCACATATTCTTAGCCTTGGCACTCAATGGAGGTGAGTGGTCAGCTCCACCACACCACAATTGCTTTACCACAGGGAAAGTACACCAATATCCACTGAATGGGGGGGGGGGGGCGGGAGCCCTACAGCCAGTCTAGATGCCATGGAGAAGTGAATAGTCTCTTACTCCGGTCAGGAACTGAACATTGATTCCTCAGTTGTCCAGCCTCTACCCTTGTCACTATACTGAGCTATCCAGTTCCTACATAACTATAAGTAACCAGGTGGCACAACTTTGCACTGAGAAAAGGGGAACACATGCAAAATTTAAGTACTTAATAAACAAAGCATGCTAGTGCAAGTCATCTGCCAGCATTCTTGGTGCATATCTGAAGACAACAGTTTATAGAACAGAGTCTGCTACTTCAACAGCACATCTCATTCTCAGTTTTCGTTTTGCACAAACAAATAAGATCTACTTTCTAACATGAAAGTATGAGGTATATCTTGTCAATATTAATACGAACACTGCGACAAATTTTATCATTTCTTACTGTTCCACTGTTTTGAATGATACTTTCAAGTCTTATATTTTAGTCCACGACCTTTAATTAGGGGCATGGTAATTACATACACTGCAAAGAAAACTGGATACAACATCAAAAAATGTTTGTAAGAAGCTTTTGTTTTTATCTGTCTGAGGAAAGGGGTAAGTTCCCAGGCTCTCTCATATAATATGCTGTCACTGCATGCTACAGACATGCAATAAAATTTAATAATACAAGCTGAGACAACCAAGTAGAACCTGTACAGAGCTTGCATGCAAGTCCTGGAATCTACCTTTTGGGAGGCTGACATATTTCAAAGATGGTACAAAACAAGAAGAAAATTGAATATAAGCAGATTCCAGGCTTCCTTTAATATAAAATTACCATACATGCTGTTATATTTAATTAACTGTATACTTAAAACACAAAGCATTATGAAAGCAATGGTGTACAAATATATACATATATATCAACATATATGTATATACATACATGCTAAATTCCAAAAACCACCAAAATATATGTGAAAAAAAAAATTACACATGCTCATAAGAATACTGCAAAAATCTGCAAAATTATATATAAGAACTGCCAATCATCACATGGAACGACCAACCAACCGCAAGTTACGTTAGTCACTGAAAACTGCTACGCAAATTGCCTGGCCATTAAATTAAAAAAAAAAAATAATTATATCATATGTAAAATGGCAGGAAAACTAGATTTAATGACTGCAAGGTACCATGTTTCTGCAAACATTACCAGGAACAGAGCGATCTTGCTTCAGATGTATCAGTCATTCCAGAACTCTGGTGTTCCTGCCAGTGGGCTTCGTAGCTGAGGATATGAGTGCCAAATAACACCACGGTGACATGTCATTTTAAAAAACCCATCAAAAAACTACCGTACAGCAAAATCAGTTGCAGAATGCAGGAACTGACAATCCCTCCACATAAGACAGATGTTAACTGACAACGCATATCACAAACTTTTGAAGCCAGAGTCCATGCTTCCCAGTTGTATTCCACTGTCAGTTCCTACTTTCTGCCCATGCAAAATTTCTCACATCATATTTCAGACGAGAAAAATAAATATAAGTAACAGACGTTTGCACGCACGCACTCCAATTTGCTACACTAAGGAGATATCTAGTGAAGGAGAATGATAAAGACAAGCAGCCAGCCAGTTCGGAATAACACGTAGAGGAAGAATACGTTTTGTGTTTAAATACGCTGCCACTTTTCTAGTACAGGCCAACGAGATTATCCCCGCCAAGAAACATCCACAACAGGAAAGCTGCAAGGAATAATTATACAATGTTTACCCTGGACAAAGTTTTTTTTTTAAATGTATTATTAGCTCTCTCTCTCTCTGTCAGCTGAGCCCCGCATCATGCCAAATTTGCCAAGTAGGCAAATGTGAATGGCTCTTTTAGTGCACGAGAGTATCCCTCTGAAATAAAAAGACAACAAAAAGCAGCACCAAAAGACATACGTTAAATCCTATTTCATCTGTAAGAATGCCTGGATCTTTGCTGTTAACAGACTAGCAATACTGGCTCTATCCACTTCTGGATAGAGCAATTATGGAGACAATGTATTAACTAGACATTATACCTTAAAGTATCACTTCACACTTAAATGTAAAACCATTAATTAATCAAAAATATGGAGGTACCCTTTATTCACTGCTGTCTCTGATAACACTTAAAATGCAAATATTACGTATGCAAGTTCTGAAAACCATTTGACAGGTTAAACCAAGAGGCCATTTTGTTTATCCAGAAGTATTGATTACCTCATCGTTACAAATTAAACATGCCTAAAAACGTCCCATATGTATTTAGCATTGCTAACTCTAAACCATATAGATAAAAAATGAAGCACAATAAATGAGATAAATGTATTTTGGCCAGCACTGTAGTAAGTCTGGACGTTAAGGAAACTATGAAAATAATACGGACAATAATGTCTACTTCTCTCCCCCCACATTAAAGGATCAACATACATGCGTACCATATAGTTTACCAACAAACCAAACATACCTTTCTTCTCGGACATTATGAGATATAATTAACAGTATACAGATTTAAATAGTACACAATACACTATCTTTCCCTTGCGACACTAAATGGATGCTCGAAAACTCGAAACACTAGCGCCTTGTCATTGATATCAAAGTAGTCAGATTGTCGTAGTCTTCGACGTAGGTAGGACCGGTTAGAACTGCTGTTCCGGGTTTAGCGACATCTACTGAACTAACAAACTAACTACTTTACAACTCTCTAATGGGGTGAGACTAAGTCCACTTGGTGTTGCGGCCAAATTTGGCCTATTGTACAACCCAAGATGATAGATAGTGATTTGGGAGCAATCGGTGGAATGTGAATTGGCAGGGTAAGCCGAAGTACTCGGATAAAACCTTCCCCAGTGCCACTTTGTCCACCACAAATCCCATATGGCTTGAGCCAGCCTCGAACCCGAGCAGCAGCGGTGGAAAGCCGGCGACTATCCGCTTGAGCTATGGCAAGGCCAACTGACGAACTAACTAACTTCATGGAGCTGAGCCCATCTCGAGAAGCCGCCAAATGTGCAGCTACTCAGTAACTTCCCAAAATTTTATGGAACCCGAATCTTCAGTACCGTGTTCACAAGAATCCTCCTCCCTATCCCGAGTTAGATCAGTCCAGTCCATACAACCCCATCTTGTCTCTCTAAAATCCATTTGAATATTGTCCACCCACCTACATCAAGGTCTTCCTAGCGGTCTCTTTCCTTCTAGCACTCCACCAATATCCTATATGCATTCCTCTTCTCTCCATTCGTGCTATATTCCTTACCTATCTCATCCTTCTTGACTTGATCATTCTAATTACACTTGACGAAGTGTACAAGTGTTTCATCGTTGGTTGACATAGTAGCTGTCGGAGCGGACTGCATAGAAAACATTGTTACCAGAGTTGCTGTCATTGGTTACATGATGTTGGATGACGTGATCCAGTGTTGTGTCACGTTTTTGTGTCACTGCCTTGCAACGGCGCCGTTCTCCAGGAAAAGCAGGAAGTATAAATTCAGTGCACTCATGGGCACTGTGATAACGAAAATATTCGCAATATTGGACAACAAGAAGTCCGACGTAGAAAGTATAAGAGGCTTAAACTTGGCGGCGGTCAAGCATACGACCGTTTAAGTGGCTAGATTGTCGTTGTAGGGCATAATCTGTTGTACTTAGCCTGGACTGACAGAAGCCCGGTGTATATTTTATGTATTATTAACATGCTTAACATGTAAAATGTAAATATCCCTTACATTATGACAAATGACTTACCACTGCAGACAATGACTCTGGCAAAAGACAGACCCGTCCTCTGGTCAGAGAGGGCGCCCCACAAAAACAAGACCGAAATTGTCAAACAGTAATAAATATCTGGCCATAAGCCCCAGATTGGGCTCGACACCAACAATGGCCGACTGACTGACTGGCCGTCAGTCGTAATGTGACTTCGACTTTGATTGCAGTGTCAATAACACCGTATGAAGATCGGAAGGATAGGAAATACGTTCAACATCTACATACCGATATAGTCAAAGGTAAGACGAGGGTGCATAGGAACTGGAGGAAGCTTCTCATATTTTCTCACATTGTCTCGTTAATCGTGATGTTCTCAATGTGACCAACAGGTAAGTCGTGTATTGTAAAACACTACAATAATAGTGGAATTTCTGACGAATACACTATACGGTTGGATTTTTTAAAATATTAAACTTCATTATTTATGTTGTTCATTTGAAATTATGTGCATTGTACTCAGTTGTTATGATAACATTAAGGAAAGTACCATTAAGGTGTAGTTTGGCCATACTGGATCACTGTCACAGTGAAGTAATACGCTTTGGATTTGTAGGTATTGTAGGTGAAATACGGTACAGATTTTTGTATTTTTTTTTTCGATATTATGTTAAAAATTAACGTCTATTGGTATGTGGTATATTGAGAGGTATGTATGGATTATCAATGTAAGTAGTTATAATTTCGCCGTTTAGTATGGTAGGCCACTTTATATTTTGGAAATCTAAAGCTTTCCACAAAGAAGCTAGGTTTGAATATAATTCAAAATGTTAAGTGAACCACATTGTCAAGATCACGCAACACTGATTTCACTTCTTAGGATTCAGTGATCATTTACTCAGAGTAAGCATAATCATAACACAAGGTTATAAAAGAATAATCAAATACAAATGTATTGTTTTCAGCTAAAGAATATACAAAGCTTGCAATGTCAGGACATAAAAATCAGAACAACCCTCCGGGGCTGAAGCAGATTGATCTTGACCAGATTTGGGGTGATCTCAGGGAAGGCATCGAGCAAGTGTACAATCGCCAGTGCATGCCTAAACCTCGTTATATGGAACTTTATACGTATCCTTTACATTGCATTGTAAATACAGTCATATTGATGAACTGTTTAAGAATGATGTCTTACCATTATGGCACAGGGTGAAGTGACTGGCATTTGCCTTTGCATCTAGACAGACTCTGATGTTCACACAGCCTCCCATTCAATAGGTATGGGGGGGTTCTTTCCATGCAGGAAGCTAACCACTCACCTCCATGCTGTGCTGAAGTTCAGAATGCCTGGAACTTTATCTCCTTTACCATATATGTCTTTATGTCATGGTGCATAAACACACGGACAGCATTAGCTGTTCTCATCTTTTGCATTATGGTAAAGAAAGTGGAATCTTTATTTTCTACTTACCTAGTAAAAAGTTAGTGGAATTTTCATTTACTAATATTATAAACAGAGGAAAGGAACACCCTCTTAATTTTCCATACACTTAATTTATTAGTATTATAAAGAAAGGAGCAAACTTTTTCACTTTCCACTTGTCCACTGAAAAATTGGTGTACATATTGTGTATTGTTATCACAGAAAGAACAAGTTATGATAGTTTGAAAATAATTTGCATGTAAGTCCTTCATTTACATCATTGGCTGATGATGGTGTAATGGGCAAAAATCGTGGGATTTTTTTACTCATTTCACAAAAGTTGGACTGTTGAAGTTCTAGAAACCTCAAGTCTTGACATGGAAAAGTTAAATTTAATTAATTAATTTCATTTATAAAAGTACAGATTGGTTGTCCATGAATATGGGGGGGGGAAAGATCAGAAAATGGGATTGAAATGTAGTCTTTTGGTCATGACAGTGAAAATGGCATCCATTAGCATATAAGTAGTACTGATGGTATACAGCCATGTATTAGAACAAAGGTAGTCACAGTATAGGGACCACTTTGGCCTTTCCGTTATTAATTCATCCATTCATTCATACATATGGTCATGTAATTTATTTATTTCGTCTCTATAGATCATTGTTACATGATATAGGACAAGTCAGTTACTGTACATTGGCTGATTACAATAAGAGAATAAAGTTACAATACTTAAAATTGTTTACAATAGATTAGAGTATATTACAATAGTTAAGATTTCATATAGTAATGTCCTATGTAGAACTTTCATCCAAGAATGCAGTGTTTCAAACCACCATTATTCTTTGTCCCTCTGTACCTGCCAGCAGTTAGCTGTCTGAGCTTCAGTAGTATGTAGTATTTGTAAGAGTTGGGCCCTTGCACTGCGACCTTCAATGATCTGTTGTGCTTCCCCTATGGATTAACCCTTTATTAATTGTACACTTCGAATGAAATGTAGGACTTTATTTATGGGAGTATAATAAAAGCCACTTGGTTCCATAAAGAACTGGCCCAGGTGACAACATCATAAGTAAGCTATGGCCTCATAATCATATAGGATATATGTGGCTGATTCATCTTGTAGGCACCTTTCACAGGTTGGGTCATCTGTTGATCCCACTTTGAAAAGGTGTCCTTTTAGGTGGCAGTATCCGATGTCTAAGCTTCAGGTACTTTATCATTACTGTCATGAATTCCAGGCATTGTATATTTACAAATGTACATTAGTCTCATTGTCCTTGGCAGACATATGCCCCATTATGGGAGTTTTAAAACCCTGCAGTGTAGAATTCCTCAGGATCATCAGACCTAAATTTATCAATTTCAGACTCTTACCCTTGAGTGGCCCAAAAAGATTGTACAAGGTGGTTCAAATATGACCGGGACTGATTAACCCGTTGCCGTGGTTCGTCGTGTATGTTTCGTCAGGGATTTAAATCGTCTGGGGGGGTTCGACGTGTATGTTTCGTTCAGCTGCACACCTATGTTATAACGCCCATAATAATTGATGGTTTTGCTGTAGATTGTTAGATTTTTCGCTGGCCTGTTGTCAGTAGAACAGAGTATAAATAAGACACGACTTTATCTGTGCCAAGTCATCGTTACATATGCCTGTCTTGCAGCAAAGTTCCTGTGGTTCTGGCGAGCGGTTTCTAGCTGTACTGTTATGAAAGCGTGTTTTTCTTTGCTTTGAAGATATAAACAGAAGAGACGTGATGTTTACTGTTGTATATNTGGATACCTGCTTTCCACCTGTCTTCCGCTTGGATCGGATCTTTTCCTTCACGTCTGTTGCCAGGAGGTCTGAGTAATAAGCTGCATTGACTGTTCTGGCATCTGTCAGAAAGTCTACATGGATAACCCCCTNACTGCTGTAGGAGACAACTGGCAGCTTGCATGTTCACCATTTTGTTCATGTTCATCAAAGTGCGTGGTACCCACCATGCATTCACCTTGCAATAGTGCAGGTGGTATTTCACGATGTCTTCTACACTACCAACACTGATGGACAGCATTACTCCAAGTTCCTTGATAGTCGTGCACCTATTCTCACGAATAAGCACGTCTGCAGGATCAATGTTCAGCTCGGTGATGGAAAGTTAATAGAAAGTCCGTCGAGTGTAACAATTTGTAGGTCACTTTTTATTATTATTTCTGCCTTACATGTTTCGGTTTGACACAACCATCATCAGAGGCACTTGCTATAATTATGGAAACACTGTCGCTTTTTTTGATGTTCACAATTATGTTTGTCGTGTGGACACTGCTACAGTATGTTGACGTGTAAAAGCACAAAACATGCTATGATAGTTGAGTACACTCTCAAGTTCTCACTTTTCATCCGAACCTATTTTAAGTTAAAACGCTAAAATGTTAAAATATTTGATATAAAATGCTGATCTCCTCCTGTTAATTCATCCCGAAGATGGGAGACGTCAGCTTGAGGTTGTATAGCTGCAAAGATATTATATTACTTAGGATTTTATATATTATTATATATATTGTTTAATGTTGTATTTGATTCTTGCTTACCTTATGGTTTGATATGTTCCTGTGTGCTGTGTACTGCAGTAGGAACACTACGTCTAATGTTTTTTTTATAGCCTTGTGTGTTATGACGTGGTCGGTGGTGTGTTTATACAAGTAGTGATGAAGTCAAACATGCTGTTCTGGTTATTGATTTCCTTTGCCTGTTTCTGCTCATCTATTAGTTTATTATCCTTGTAGTGGCGGTAAATTTGATATTCTTCCTTTATATTCATTAATCTACCTTTCTTTGCTACTTCAATCAGTTCCATGACTTGTGAAATTGGGCCATATTGATGTTGTCTATTTAGGATATGTTGAGCATAGGCGGAGTCATTTTTATTTAATCTTATACTTCTTATATGTTCATTATAGCGTGTTACTAATTTTCTGCCTGTTTGACCTATGTACACTTGTTGGCACCCCTGACAAGTCAACTTGTAACTTGTCAAGGAAATCAATAACCAGAACAGCATGTTTGACCTCATCACTACTTGTATAAACACACCCCCGACTGCGTCATAACACACAAGGCTATAAAAAAACATTAGATGTAGTGTTCCTACTGCAGTACACAGCACACAGGAACATATCAAACCATAAGGTAAGCAAGAATCAAATACAACATTAAACAATATATATAATAATATATAAAATCCTAAGTAATATAATATCTTTGCAGCTATACAACCTCAAGCTGACGTCTCCCATCTTCGGGATGAATTAACAGGAGGAGATCAGCATTTTATATCAAATATTTTAACATTTTAGCGTTTTAACTTAAAATAGGTTCGGATGAAAAGTGAGAACTTGAGAGTGTACTCAACTATCATAGCATGTTTTGTGCTTTTACACGTCAACATACTGTAGCAGTGTCCACACGACAAACATAATTGTGAACATCAAAAAAAGCGACAGTGTTTCCATAATTATAGCAAGTGCCTCTGATGATGGTTGTGTCAAACCGAAACATGTAAGGCAGAAATAATAATAAAAAGTGACCTACAAATCGTTACACTCGATGGACTTTCTATTAACTTTGTGATTGATAGTGTAACGGACCAAAATGAAACAATTAAAAAAAAATCGGTGATGGATGTTCGCGACCAACGATCATGTGGTTCATTCTCCACATGCTCTCTGCCCTCTCTGGAGTACTTACACCACTCAAACACATGGGTCCGTGAGAGACTCTTCCCCATACTGTTGTTGGAGTCTGTGGTGAATTTCAGTGGACCGGACGTTTTCTCCAATGAGGAATTTGATCACAATGCGTTGTTCCACGCTCCGCGGTACCTTCTCTACGCTCATCCCTCTAGCAACTCCCAGACAGCACTGAACAAGTTCTAACCCTAACAGGAGGGAGAGTGGAGGTTGTGGCTACAATCTCTCAAGGTCGCACGGCTGCTGCACAGTGTGGCTTGTTTACAAAAAAATCAGTCCCGGTCATATTTGAACCACCTAGAAGTTATAAGGATATACGAGTATAGAGATATGTATGGACTCTAGGTGGGGTAATCAAGGCCCCCTCATCCCATTTATGAAAAATCCTGAGAACTGTCACTTTCATTCTGTAACTTCGCATCATGACAACACTCCCACCTGACATTTGTATGTGACTTGCTTCACATTTAGAAGTATTTCGTGGTGTGAATGCAGCCAGTTACAGCACACATTGCTCTCACCATATGAGTACTTTGAATTTCACTGTTGCAGACTATAAGAGATGCAACTGTATACTGGACTGCTTGGATTCTAGTATGTGATGTACTCATTTACATTTACATTTATTTTCACTTCATGGATCCAATCATCTCCCCATAGGCCTGGATATAAAATATGTCACATATTACAAATATACTAGTTCTTGGGCCATCCAGCCTCCTGTCAATGGGTATCAGGGGCTTGTTCTTTGGGCATAAAGCACCCAGACCATGAAGCTGACCACTCACCTTCAAACTAGTGCCAAGGACAAGAATACATGGATCTATACATTCACTCTCCTATATGACTACACGGCATAGTGCTTAATCAGTTAAGCATAGGAACTACTTTTAGTATTATACATTTATGCCACATTTTGTTGAACAATTTTTATGTTGGTTTAATTTAGTTCATTATAGGGCCCAAAGTGAAA